CTATCACATTCGGGCTTGAGGGGTGAGGAGAAGACTCAGTGAATGGTCACTGGAAGGTAATGAAAAGGGACCTTCGTATTTGAAGATTGTCTAGAGAATCGAATCTCTGCTTCTGAAGATGACTTGATATTAGTGAAACATGTCATTTTCTCATTGGTAAGTTAGGAGCTGAGGAATATCCATCGACTTGACCAGTAAAGTGTGTGAGTTAATGGATTCTACTGTACTGTGCTCAGTCATGTCTGACTCTGTGCAACCCCAGGGACTGCAGCCCACCACTGCAGGAGCCACTGCAGGCTCCTCTGTCCACGGGGATTCTCCAGGCAAGAATACTGCGGTGGGTTGCCATACCCTTCTCCAGAGGATCTTCCCAACCCAGGGATCGAACCCAGGTCTCCCGCATTGCAGGTGGATTCTTTACCTTCTGAGCCACCAGTGAAGCCATGGAAACTGGACTGGGTAGCCCATCCCTTCTCCAGGGGATCTTCTTGACCCAGAAATTGAACTGGGATCTCCTGCATTGCAGGCAGATAGATTCTTTACCAGCTGAGCTATGAGGGAAGCCCCCATGGATTCTACTAAACATTCTAGTTTAGACTTATTCTGTTTTATTCTACACCCTTACTAAGTGCAGAAAGGTGGGGGAATTGCCTGGCTGTCCAGTGGTTAGGGCCCCACACTGTCACAGCCAAAGCCCTGGGTTCAATCCCTGTTCAGGAAACTAAGACCCAACCCACTGTGCTACACAGGGCTCCCCCCAAAAAAGCACAAAATATTAACCAAATTTTAACATTTTCTCAGCATCAGAGCACATATCTCTGTGCAATGGTGATTATCACCAAGGACGTCTTCTCTGAGAGCTGCCCATCATGACAAATGATTTTGTTGCTCAGCTTCCACAGAGAGGCAGTTCAGTCCCCCATACTGCTCTATGGGCCAGTTCTTCTTTTGTGTTCACCCTAGGAGGGTGCTTCATGCTGGCCTGCTTCCCGCGTGTCTGGAGAAGTGAGCCAGTATAATATGCACAGGTATCACTCCCTAGTTTGACTTCTCCTCAAGTAGCTTGTCTCCTATACTCTTTACATTTTCCCAACAGTCCGTCTCTTTGACCGTCTTCCGTGTTTTATTTTAAAGTCTAGTTTTTTGGTGACTGGTGCCCGGTGGTAACTGCGGACTCACTTCTGGAGACTGATGATATTTCCACGTGGCAGCAGAAAGGGCCCTGAACCTGGAGACGGAGGGCTCGGCTTTGGGCTCCAGCCTCACACATCCTCACCGTGGGCAGAGTAGAAGAGAAAGAAATCTGGGCAACATTCTGATTTCATTAGGCGGGCTTGGAATCTGAACCCCAGTACTTTTTACAACTCACTTGGGCGTTCTTACATGCGTCAAAGATTAAAAACCCTGCTTGCCCCTTAAACTTACACAATGCTATATGTCAGTTACACCTAAATGAAGATGGGCGTGGAGAGTGGAGAACCTGTGCTCCTCACTAAGGCATTGACAGCGCACTTGGGAGTCCAAGAGACGACACGGCCAGGACCCCCGGGCTGGGAGAGCCAGTCCTGGGGCGTCTGATGTGGGCTCTTACTTTGTTATATTCTTTAAGGGAAAAATATCCTCCTTACGATACTGCTCGTGTTCATCATGAATAGTGCCTAGGAGCATGCTCTAGAAGCAGAGAAAATATACCTGAGCTGAAGTTCAGGTTCTAACACGGCAGCTCTGTGACCTTCGACACGTCCCTTTATTGGACCTCACTTTTTCAAAATCTGGCAATGTGGAAGATGCCAGTCTCCAGTGCACAAGTTGGTTGGAAGACCAAACTAGAATAAGGACACCTGCCAATTATCTTGTGCTTGCTCTGATGTTCAGGCAACATCCAAGGGCTTCATGTGAATACCTCATTTGAGTTGCAAAATTTCATCTGAGAAAGGTCTTCTGGGGAGACAGTGTGCTGAAAAGGTGCTTTGTAATTGGGAAGGCTTTATGAATGCGTGAGATGCTCATGCTTCACATGGTAGAAAGACAGGTAGATCTAGTTTGACTTTATTTCTTCTTTATGTCTTAAATTATTTGCCCTTCATAGTCTTCCAGAACTCTCTGACATATTTATTATCCGAGGCTACATAACTGAAAAGCAAAGACGCTAGAATTCACATTTGACTCTTTTAACACTGAGATCACTGATCTTTCTACTCTACTCAACCAGTTCCTGGTTAATTGAAAGTATAGCACATTTGAACCCAACCGTTAGTTCTCCAATACACAAAGTGTGATCCATGGACTTATAGCATCAGCTTCATCAAATTCTAAAACAAAGCTCAAAGTTTAAAATGTTTAGGTTCATAAATCACTTACTATAGTTTCTGTATTCTGGCAATAGGCAAGTTTCTCCTAGGCCTAAATATCAATCTGGGGCATGCGAGGTATGACCTGATTCGGATGTGAAGTTCTTCAGGTTTGCCAAAGTGTGCACTAGGAATCCTTGCGTGCGCACTTGCTGAGAGACTCACAGCTGTTCTCCTTCCATCAGGCAACGCAGGCACTCAGTCGTGTCCGACTCTGCGACCCCAAGAACCGCAGCACGCCAGGCCGCCCTGTCCATCACCAACCCCCAGAGCATACTCAAACTCATGTCCATTGAGTCGGGGATGCCATCCAACCATCTCATCCTCTGTCGTCCCCTTCTCCTCCCGCCTTCAATCTCTCCCAGCATCAGGGTCTTTTCCAATGAGTTGATTCTTTGCATCAGGTGGCCAAAGTATTGGAGTTTCAGCTTCAGCAACAGTCTTTCCAATGAACACCCAGGACTGATCTCCTTTAGAATGGACTGGTTTGATCTCCTTGCAGTCCAAGGGACTCTCAAGAGTCTCCTCCAACACCACAGTTCAAAAGCATCAATTTTTCTGCGCTCAGCTTTCTTTATAGTCCAACTCTCACATCCATACATGACCACTGGAAAAACCATAGCCTTGACTAGACGGACCTTTGTTGGCAAAGTAATGTCTCTGCTTTTTAATATGCTATCAAGGTTGGTCATAACTTTCCTTCCAAGGAGTAAGCGTCTTTTAATTTCATGGCTGCAGTCACCATCAGCCGTGATTTTGGAGCCCAAGAAAATAAAGTCAGCCACTGTTTCCACTGTCTCCCCATCTATTTGCCATGAAGTGATGGGGCCGGATGCCATGATCTTAGTTTTCTGAATGTTGAGCTTTAAGCCAACTTTTTCAACTTTTTCTCCTTCTATAGGTGCTGTTTTTCTTACTACATTGGAGAGAAGGCAGGAGATGTAAGACACGCTCTGATGAACGTTATATACCATGTGCTGTGCTGTGCTTAGTCTCTCAGTCCTGTCTGAGTCTTTCCAACCCCGTGGACTGTGGCCCTCCAGGCTCCTCTGTCCACGGGGATTCTCCAGGCAAGAACACTGGAGTGGGTTGCCATGCCCTCTTCCAGAGGTTCCTCCTGACCCAGAGATCGAACCCAGGTCTCTGGCATCGCAGGCAGATTCTTTACCATCCGAACCACCAGGGAAGCCCAGGAAAACTGGAGTGGGTAGCCTATCCCTTTTTCAGGGGATCTTCTCACCCAGGAATCAAACCGGGGTTTCCTGCATTGAAGGTGAATTCTTTACCAGCTGAGCTACCAGGGGAGTCCCAGGATATACTATCACTAGTACTTGAAGTATACTTGTGCCACTAATCATCACTAGTTCTCTTGCATTTAAATCCTGTTCTGTACTGTGAATTTTGCTTTGGTCCATTTCACTCCATAGGGTATGCTAGATTTGAGACTGGATTGTAGATTAGTACCCCCTCTTGCTTTCTTGTCGCTTGATAGTCCATTTACCAGAGGGTTACACCAATGATCAATTCTGCTATATGACTGTAGGTCTAGTAAAAGATTTATTGAAACTGAAACTAACTTAAGATGTGCTTTTTTTTTCTAATTACAGATTTTATTGTAACTCTTTGGTTTTAATGAGTGGACTGCCCCCTGGTGGACAAGAGCTGTCGGCGCACATGAAATCTCGTGCTTTTGCTGTTTAAGATCTGAACTATTTTCTTCCGTGCCTAGGAAAGCCTCTCAGCTGTGTCCCGGTCTTTGGAACTTCGTGGGCTGTATCCCACCGGGTTCCTCTGTCCATGGAATTTTCCAGGAAAGAATACTGGAGTGGGTTGCCATTTCCTACTTCAGAGGGTCTTCCAAATCCAGGATCGAATTCACCTCTCTGGTGTTTTCTGCATTGGCAGGCAGATTCTTTACCCCCATCTGGGCAGTCCGAACTACTTTCTTCAGGTAGTATGAATTATATTTACATGAACAGTTAGAACTAAATCCATAATGTGTCAAACTCAGTAATGTACAGAACTCTAAGATTTCCCCAGGTATTTTTGAAATGGCCTCAGAAAGCACAAGGACAGGATTTTCTTAATCTCTGTGCAGTAAATTTCCATTTTCCTGGAGTGACTGAGAACTTGTGAATTCTAATTAGTAGGTTATTTCAGTGTCAGTGATACAGCTTACATAGATTAATCATTTGCAAAAAAAATTAGTTCACAGTATGTAATGGAATACACAGATTCCTAAATGTCAATTAATGTAGTAGTCGATAATAATACCTAATAATTGGGACTTCCCTGATACCTCAGTTGGTTAAGAATCTGCCCACAATGCTGGAGACCTGGGTTCGATCCCTGGGTTGGGATGATCCCCTGGAGAAGGGAAAGGCCACCCACTCCAGTATTCTGGCCTGGAGAATTCCATGGACAAAAAGTCGGGCTCGACTGAGCGACTTTCACTTTCACTTATATACTTTTTATACTCAGTGCTTAAGGTATTTTAAAATTCTTTAAATTTCCCCCTTTCCTATGACATAGGGATGGCTGCTGATCCTCTTGTGCAAGCGAGGAGACAGAACTGCCACATAGCGAGGAAGTGATGGGGCTGGCCTAAGCCGTCTGGCCCTTAACCCAGTGCTGCATGGCCTGGCGAAGACAGCGCACTGCAGCGTCGCAGGACCTCTCCGGGGCGGTGCCGCTCATCACGCTGCGTCACCGCGAGGACATCGCAGGAGGTTCAGGTTCACTGTGGCCGACCTGTCCCCTCCCCCTTCCGGTACTTTCCACTAAGCTTTCCACCGACACCTCATACTGGGGGTGCAATAAATATCCTTATCGACGAGCTTATATTTCTCAAAGTCTTTTTGCAGAAGTTGCAGCCCTCAAACTATTTGTCATTCATTTCCTTTTCACAAAACCACGGTGGCTCCTATGTAATCGAAATCTGTTTATGTGACTGATTCAAAATAACGCATTCTCAGACACGCTAGACTGACGCGTACCACACCCAGACTCAAACAGGGCTTAGCCAAGTGGGCAGGAGACATTTCATCCTCTGGGCAATTCCTCTTGCTCAAGTCGGATGAACCAGGCCCGCCTTTCCCCACATCGCGTCTCAGAGATGATTTTTTTGACACCAGACCTCAGGAAGGTCATGAAAGGATTTGTTGAAAATTGCTCAACTCTGCAGTGAGACCTATCCAGCTCTAACATGCGGTGGCTTCACCCTCCCGAGGGCGCCTGTGGAGCGTGCCCTGTCCCGAAGCACCCCTTTCCTGGGTGGCTTGTTATTCCTGTCAAAATACTGCTTGAGTTTCAGACAGTTACGGACTTGCTTATCGACTCGGAGCTTGGCAGGCTGGGGCTGCGGCTCCCCAACTCTCCCATCCAACGGCTTCGTGCTTGGCCTTGATCTGCAAAGGGGCTGGATAGCCCTTTTGGCAGCAAAGGCCGCTTCCTGTTCGGAGAACCAAAAACATCTCCGGTTGCCCAGAAACACGGCCTTAGCGTTTCCCAGGCCACCCTGTTTCATCACGTTGTGGCTGACGCTCTGGGGCGGTTTCTCAGGCTGCAACAGGCTTGGTGTGCTGGATCAGTTGTGTCCGGCTCTTTGCGACCCCATGGACTGTACTGCCCACCAGCCTCCTCTGTCCGTGGAATCTTCCCGGAAAGAATACTGCAGTGAGTTGGCATTTCCTCCTGCAAGGGATCTTCCTGACCCGGAGATCGAGCTCGAGTCTGCTGCACCTCCCGCACGGCCGGCAGATTCTTTTTCATTTTTTCGCAGGCTGATTCTTTACCGCTGAGCCGCCAATGATATGCTGGCTGTTGCGCATGCCCGGGAGAACATCACAAACCAAGTCTGACTTTATACAGCTGCTTTCCTAGGGATCAATCAGGCTCCTGGAAACCCCTCAGGACTGAACATAATCATACACTCCAAGGGCGTATTTGAAGATACAAGTAGGAGGTGATCTCAGCAGCCTAAGCGGAGTAACACGGTTTCAAAATACAGTCTAACATATCTAGTAACACAGGCACATTATTTTGTCTCTAAATTAAATATGGATGGGGCCAGAAAACATTCTGCTTATCTCTGATTCTAATGAAGTTCATTTTATAGGGTATTTGGTTGGGTTTTATTAATAGTAAATCTAGAAATGGCAAAACAGTGGGTTTTTCAATACCACTATAAGATAATACATTTTATGCACATACAGAAATGAAATTTTTATCATCTTAAGCCTGAAGTATTGAGGTAATTAATATTGGCTTTAATCGTTTCCTTTTTTTCCCTTAAAAAATATACATCTGCATTCATGCAGAAGCACATGCAGAGTTGAAATCAGACTGTCTGGGTGTTTGGGACACAAAAGGAACCTTTGAAAACTCTGGTTTGAGCACATGAGTGTCAAGGACCCCCACAACAGAACCAATCCGAAATGTGGTACAGTATTCCCATTCAGAGAGCATCAATGTGCCTCTTTAAGGGTTTTTCAGGATCCCAGGAAATTGTGATTACATGGCATTAGCTTTTCATTTTCTAAAGAATGGGTGAAAAGCATGAAAGTCCTCTTAACAATGTGAAGAAAAGTATTTTTGGTTCTGGTAAACTTCTGCTGTTCTCTGATTTAAAAAAAACGACATAGAAATGCCTTTAGGATACCACACAATCCTACATACAATTGTAGCTCAGTGGTGCGGGTGCTGGAAGGACTACCACCTCATCCAGCCTGAAAAAAGACTCCCGAATGCCTATTGTTCTCCCCAAACAGTCACTTAGTCAAGGGTGGTATTCATTCTGGTGATATCACGAATTTATTTGTCTCTATTAGACGTTCTCATTTTTCCATGGATTTGTGGGAGAAAATAAATCCAAGTCAGCCACTGTAGGTTTTGGCAGCGGTTTACTTCATCTGGTTGATTCTATTCGCTACACAGAGGAGGGAAGTATTCAATACTCCATTATGTGTACAAATTGTGGAAATAGTATTGACTTGGCTACATTATATACATACTAGTGGTATTTACTGAATAGCAACAAAAAAACACCAAGAATAGGTTCAGATCATCAGGGGATTCTAAGCATATTTATAGGAACCAAAGATTCCTTCAAGATCTTGGTAAGAAACCAGTGTTGAAATCCTAGAATATCTTAGGGCAATATAAGGATTGGGGCTGGGCTTCCCAGGTGGTACAGTGGTAAAGAATCTGCCTGCCAGTGCAGGAAATGCAAGAGATTTTGAGGTTAATCCCTGGGTGGGGAAGATCCCCTGGGGGAGGAAATGGCAACTCACGCCAATATTCTTGCCTGGAAAATTCCATAGACAGAGGAGCCTGGCAGGCTATAGTCCATAGCGTTGCAAAGAGTCAGACGGGACTGAGTGTGCACGCACACACAAATACAGACACACACACACATACACATACACACACACACAGACAGACACATGCACACATACACACAGACAGACACACACACACACACACATACAGACACATACACATACACACAGACAGACACATGCACACATACACACAGACAGACACACACACACACATACACATACACATACACGCAGACAGACACATGCACACATACACACAGACAGACACACACACACATGCAGACACACACACACATACACACACAGACATACACACACATACACACACAAATACACACACACAAACAGATACACACACATACACACACACGTACATACACACACAGATACACACACACAAGTACATACACACATACACACACAAATAGATACACATACACACACAAGTACATACACACATATACACACAGACATACACAAGTACATACACACAGAGAGACACACAGACACACACAAATACCCACACAGACACAAATAGATACACACACATACACACACATACAGACACACACACACAGACAGACACATGCACACATACACACAGACACACACACACACATACACACACATACAGACACATACACATACACACAGACAGACACATGCACACATACACACAGACAGACACACACACACATGCAGACACACACACACACACATACACACACAGACATACACACACATACACACACAAACAGATACACACACATACACACACAAGTACATACACACACAGATACACACACACAAGTACATACACACATACACACACAAATAGATACACATACACACACAAGTACATACACACATATACACACATACACACATATACACACAGACATACACAAGTACATACACACAGAGAGACACACAGACACACACAAATACCCACACAGACACAAATAGATACACACACACACACACACATACAGACACACACACACAGACAGACACATGCACACATACACACAGACACACACACACACATACACACACATACAGACGCATACACATACACACAGACACATGCACACATACACACAGACAGACACACACACACACATGCAGACACACACATACACACACAGACATACACACACATACACATACACACACATATACACACACAGACATACACACACAAATACATACACACAGAGAGACACACAGACACACACAAATACATACACAGACACAAATACACACACATACACACACAAATAGATATACACACATACACACACAAGTACATACACACATATACACACATACACACATATACACACACAGACATACACAAGTACATACACACAGAGAGACACACAGACACACACAAATACCCACACAGACACAAATAGATACACACACATACACACACAGACAGACACATGCACACATACACACAGACACACACACACACATACACACACATACAGACACATACACATACACACAGACACATGCACACATACACACAGACAGACAGACACACACACACATACACACACATACACATACACACATATACACACACACAGACATACACAAATATATACCCACACACAAATACATACATACATACATACACACACATACATACACACACATATACACACACAGACATACACACACAAATACATACACACAGAGAGACACACAGACACACACAAATACATACACAGACACAAATACACACACATACACACACAAATAGATATACACACATACACACACAAGTACATACACACATATACACACATACACACATATACACACACAGACATACACAAGTACATACACACAGAGAGACACACAGACACACACAAATACCCACACAGACACAAATAGATACACACACATACACACACAAGTACATACACACATACACACACCCACACACAGATACACACATACACACACACAGATTGGGGCTACCACCATCACACCATTATCAATGTAATGTATTGTCAGATCATCAAATGATAGTCTTGTCAGAGAACTCAAAGTCTCTAAACTCATGCTTTTTGAATTTTAATATGTGTAACGATTGCTTAGATGTTTCCTTATTAAAGATTCAGATTCACAGGCCCCTTGCAAAGATCGATTCATTATGTAAGGTGTGGAGCTCAGGAGTCAGCTTTTGAATAACATCCCAGATGGTTCCGATGCAGTAACCTATGGTGAACTCAAAGAAACAGAACTCAACCCTCTTAGTCCACCTCTAATATTCACCTAATCTGTTGTCCCCGCCTGTCCAAATGCTGGTGCTCATCTTGTGCTTGTCTCCGTTTGGATAAATAATTACTTCCTTTCCACACAGTAGTAAATGGCCCCTGCATCGTCACCTTGTGGGGGAAGCTAAGGAAAT